GCTGGGATATAAAATATTACATTCATATCTACAAAACCAAGAAACCATTAAAATACAAGCGCATATTGGATGATGACGAATTCCTTTTTGATGGGTTCGTTGCCTATAACTCAAATGACAGACAGTGGATTATGTCCGAATTTATAGAAAAGTTAGAAAAGAAATATAACTTCAAACTTTGTCTGCAGGAGAGAGATATCCTTCCAGGTGGAATATTCGTGGACGACATCCATCATAATATTGAAGCTAGTCGTAAATTTATTTTGGTTTTGTCTGACAATTTCATGAAAGATCAGTGGTGTAGATATGAGACATTGATTGCAAATCTTACAGTAGTAGACGGAAGACCCGAAAAGGTACTTATTGTTCTACTAGGAGAAATCAGTTCCCAGTATATGACAAATTCAATGAAAACTCTGATGAAATCAACTGTTAATCTAGAGTGGACGGAAAAAGAAAGCGGGAAAAAAATTATTTTGGACAAGAATTCAAGCAGAAATGCAAAAATGAACTTATTTTTTTATAGAAGTATTGCATATATGATATTGTTATTACAATTTTATAAGTATTTTTTTTATAATTACATCCATTTATATACGAGGGCTGTTCGGAAATTATTGAGACATTGTGTATATTTTGCTTTCTAATGAACGCCTTTCGGTGAAAATTTGCATATACGTTTGACATACACTAAAAATTAATATGAGCAATAAATATTTTACAAATATTAAATATTTTCTATACAATGGTATATAAATGTGTCTATAGTAGGGGTACCCGGAGCAGTCGCGGAATCAGATATTGAATATATGTAACACCAAAATTCTAACTCTTCGTGGATCCATAATGACAGCGAAAATAATTTAGTTTAAGTGTACAATTTTTCAACTTTGTTGCAAATTCATGTTGTACAACTTGGATAGAATTTTGATCAGAAATACGGAGATCATAAAAAATTAAGCGCGGTCGAGAAATCTGCTAACGACGACAAAATAGATTTTGACGTCAAGGGCGGAGCAGCCAGCATACCTAAAATTTTGTGTAGTGCTATGTAGAACTCTTTTCAAGACTTAGCGACATGTTAAAGCAATAAAAACGAGAAAAAATAATGTGTTTTTTTTTTCATTGGTATGCATTTTTTTTTTACAATTAATTTAACCGAAGTAAAATTAAAAGATCTGGACGACCATGAGTTATTACATACAGTATTGATACCGTTACGGTATTAAACCTGCGTTGCATAAATCGGCACTGCACGATTCTAAGTCATCCTTTCCCAAAAATGAACATTTTTTCACTGGGGTGTGGGATAGCAACAGCATACATTTTTAAAGAATAGTTTAAGAAAAGAGACTGTTTGATTTTTGTAATGTTATATGTAATAACAAAGAAGGAAGAGTACTAAACGCTTCCCGATCGTTTCACAAGCGAAACAATCTACGGCTAACGTAACGTTAATTGACGTAGCGATGCTGCTCTGGGTCGATAGACATATGCATATTTATTACTTCACCGAAACTTATCTAATTATCATAGGAATTTGAAATTTTGCAAAATTATTTTAGTCGTTCTTTATAAGATTTTTTGATGAATTTTCATGAAATTATTTCTATCCTTTGTAAAGTAAATTTTGGTGTTACATATTTTCAATATCTGACTCCGCGACTGCTCCGGGTACCCTTACTATAGACACATTTATATACCATTGTATAGAAAATATTTAATATTTGTAAAATATTTCTTGCTCATATTAATTTTTAGTGTATGTCAAACGTATATGCAAATTTTCACAGAAAGGCGTTCATTAGAAAGCAAAATATACACAATGTCTCAATAATTTCCGAACAGCCCTCGTAGTTTATAAATTGAATTGACGACGGAAAAAAAATCCGATCATGACAAGGAGCACACGGTGGTATATTTAATGCTGCTCAGCGTTTGAATAAAGTTAAGCCAGAACCGTCAATTTCAAAATTGTTTAAAACAATTTAATTTTTATTATATATTTCAATGAGACAATGCAAATTACAAATGTATACAATATTCTGCTTGTAAACTTTTTACAAATGCATATAGGAACAAGATTATTTTGCATGATATTTAATTTGCATGATTAGTTTAATGAGTTAGTTGATGTTATATTATTGATAATTAGTTGATGTTATATTACTAAACTAATTTTACGTAAAATAATGTTTATTTTCATTGTTACATCTGATAAAATACAATTAAGGAATTGATTAAAGGTATCATTTAAATTTATCTATAAAGTAAGTAAGAGTATTTAGGAAAACATTGATATGTTTACCTTATTTCCTTATTTTAAAGGAGAGTTATGCGTTTATTTTGAAAATATTAGTTATTGAAATTATTTACAAGCATACATTGGTACTATTTGCACACAAAAAACATCGGGTACATGTCAGAAGAAATTTTAAAAAGTCACATTTAAAAAAAAATTAATATTAACATCTAACATTTAAAAAATACTAGCTTAACAAATATAAAGCTATATATTTTCATGTCTGTATGTCCAACACTATGATGATTACTGCTTGGACTAAAAGTACAATACAAGCCCATCTTTTTTAAAAAAAAACACAGTGTAATGAATAAGCAACTTAACTACTGTATGGAAACAAAATAAAAAAAGAGGAAAAAGAGAAGATTCAAAAGTTTGTATAATCATTTAGAATTTCAGTTCATGAATTGCTTGACAGTTTGCCAGAATTTTCTCTGTTCAGTTTTCTCTTCCGTCCACCTCGCATTTGAGGTTGAGTTAAGAAGCACTTTCAAGGAGCCGTTGACGTGTTCAGAACGAATATCCTGCAATAGAATAAGGAAAAGCTTGTGACTGTCACCGTCTGCCAGAGTGTGACTTGCGAGAGCCGTTTCATATTTACACCATTGATCGTCCATAAAGTTATTTGAGAGAACTAGGATTAATTTCCTGCTCATGTCAATGCTCTCGGTAATATCCTCCACATACACCCCACCTGGAATGATGTCTCGCTCGTGCAAACACAGCTTATATTTGTGATTTCTTTCTAGCATTTGAACAAGTTCAGACATTATCCATTTTCTGTCGTTTGTGTTATACGCAATGAAAGCATCATATAAAAATTCTTCGTCGTCGGTAAATCTTTTATAACCCGTAGGTTTTCTATTTCTGCAAATGTATATGTAATATTTAATATCCCAGCGAAATTTTCTTAAGAGAAATGTAGTGAAAATAAGAATTGAGAGAAGTCCGCAGGAAATGGATGCTAGTAAGATATACGGGTTTAATTTGTGACATTCCGAAGCAGGATCGAATTCGGATAAGCTTCTTCCTTTTAATTCCAGTGGAGATTCGCAAATATATTTCTTTGGATATCCGATCACTCGGTCTTTGTTGTTTTCTATCCATACTCTGAACCATTCAAGCTGACATCCACAGTCAAAGGGATTGGACGATACATCAAGAAGAAAGCTTTCATTTTTCCAAAGAAAATCGGGCAAAGATGTTTGATTGATGTTATTTAAACTATTGTTCTGTAGAGTTAATTGATTTAATGCTGTTAAATTTTGAACAAAGTTTCCAGAAATTTCTTTAATTTTATTAAAACTGTAGTCTATTTTTGTTAATTTTGTAAAATCATTTAAAAAAGTCATTTGATGAATCAAACCATATATAATTGTCAAGGATGACAATTTTTTCAGAGGTTCCAGCATTTTTCTGACGTCAGTTTTTGAAAAATCGGTATTCATTATTCGTAGAACCCGTATGTTTGGGCAATCGAGGAAAATATTTTTGAATTCCTTGTCCTTTCTCTCCACGATACGTCCTATAGAGAGTGTTTGGAGAGATGTTGATGATAACGATCTATTGTCCATAACAACTCCGTTTAAATTATCTATGATTAAGGTTTGTAAATTATTCATTCTAACAAACGAGAAGAAAGTGATTGTTTGGAATAAATTGCCTGAAATGTTCAGAAATCTAACGTGTTGGAGACAGAAGCCTTGTTCTATAAAGTTGGCAGTATCCATCAAATTATTCACGGCCATATGTAATGTTTGCAGCCTTGGAAACGCTGGTATTTTATTCAACGTGTTATTCAAGCAGAACTTGGGAAGTTTCTGGAAAATATTATCTGTAAAATTCAACTCTTCTAAAGTATAAATTTGAAGTTTCGGAACTACAAAATTTGATATCAAGTTGCCACCAAAATCAATTTTTCTTATACTTGACAATTCTTTAAACGAATCAAAAGTAAAGAATCGTAAGCCACAAGATCGAATAACAACCTCCTCCAACCCCCTTAACCAAGACGTAAGGAATATGTTTTTTAACGTAACAGGAAACAATCGAGTTTTGAGAATTAGGCCAGAAACATTTAACACCTTAACGCTTGAATTTCCCAGATGTTGGATGGCAAGATAGAGACTTTCTATGGGTAATTCATTATAAGCCAAGTCAATATGAACCAGGGTTTGTAAACCTTCAAAAGAGTCTTCTGAAATACTTTGTATCTGACAATTATCTATCAACAAATTTGTAATATTATCGGTAAGGATAGGGTTGAATAAGTCATTCGAAAGAATCGGGAATTTATTTCCTGACAGAACTAAAGTTTTGACACTCAGTGGCAATCCGGCAGGGATAGTCTTAAGATTTCTATTCGAACAATCTGCCGTAGAATTGTCCGAACAAAAACATGCACTGTGAGCACAGAAGTTTTCTGTTGCGTGGGCATGTATTGTCGCCATCACAAGTAGGAGAAAGGGGATATTGATGACACACGACTCCATAGTTATCTAGATTAAAAATAAAATAAAATAAATTTAGAAAACATGTTTGAGGCAGTATAAATTTTTTATATGGAAACAGTTATACACTGCATCATAAATTCAAATAACAGATAACTTAAAGCAGTATGAGCTGCAACTTTGATGTCGGAATTTTTTGTTGTAAATTAGTAAATAACTATTTCAATGACAGAAATAAAAACGATTATAAACTTCTGTTGTTTATATTTGCTATGGAAGAACTACTTATAAGCTTCGATTACATCAAAATTACATTATTGTCGTCCTGTACAATAATGATTTCTTATAAAACTGTATATTGTAATTGGATTGTATATACCTATCTTTCTTTTGCTTTATTTTAGTCTAATTGATCATAATGGTCTATTTCACAAACAAATTTATCACAATAACACATTTTAATAGAAATATAAAATTTTCAAAAATGCAGCTCATATTGCTTTAACGGGATGTCTAAGGATTAAAAACTAGAATCATCAATTTTTTCTGAATGTGTTTCTAATTTTGTTCCAAATGAATAGAGCATATGTTTCCAGTTGGTCCTTCTAGATCTTCTGAAAGAACAATCATTTTCTACACACTGACCAATGCAAACGTCATAGAACGAGAGGTTCAGCTTACAATAATACATGTTGAAAAAGAAAAATGCGTTAAGTTTTGAGTGTAGTCATATAGAAACACTTAAATGGGGATTCCAGAGTTGTTACCGGTAGAAAGGGTATATACTTTCTTCTTCCTGACACCTGATCACACCTTTGCAATCTCCAGAGTTCCCTGCCAATGCCTTGTTCACAGAATTTGCTCATAGATTTGCTGAGATCCATCACTATTCGTTATCTTCGTACTTTTCATCACAGTACCCATTGCTTACAGACTGTATTTGTCTGATTAAGGACAAATCTATA